ACTCCAGGATCATGACCTGAGCTGAAGGCAGTCGCCTAACCAACTGAGCCACCCAGGTGCCCCCTACCCAGTGATTGCTAAGACTGGGAGGAGTGGGGTGGCAAACTCCTCCTGTTCACTCAGCTCTGCACCTTTTCTGGGTGGCTCCCGGCCACATGCACCAGGAACATTCAGAATCTGGGGGCCTTTTGGGCTTATGACGTGCAAGGACCAGTTGCCTTATGATAAATGGCTCTAGATGATGACACCGCCCCCGCCTCGCCTGCCCGCCTGGCCTGGATGCTGACGTCTGAGTTGGGAAATACTTTTCCTCCTTGCTCTCCACTGCCACTCCTCGCGGCAACCGCCTCTCTGTTGTCCCTCGCCTGCCGGGGGCTGGGGCTTTGCCGTGCTGGTCAGGAGCCTTGGGGGAGCTTGAGGTGCTCCTGCACTTGAGTGTGAGGGCGGTGAGGCAGGCCTTGTGCCAAGCTGTGTTGGGCCTCCGGGTGGATGAAGCAGTAGCGCATTGCAGCAGGCGTCAGGGTGTCTGTCCTTATGAAGGCCGAGCACTGTTCCATGGGACGGATGGACCACATTGTGTTTATGCATTCCTCCAGGGGTGGACTCTTGGATTGCTTCCACCTTTTGGCCCGGGACTACTTTTTAACAGTCTTTCCTTGGCTTGGGGTCCCCAGGAACACACAAGGAATGGACCTTGGTGAGCAAGCCCAAGCCCATATTTCGGAAGCATTGATTTTCTACCTACAGTCTGGGGCGAGATGGCCAGTCTTCATGAGCCAGGGCTTGGGATTTTCAGGCCACTGTTTCCTACCTGCGGCAGCAGCTTACGGAGGGCCCTGGCTTTCTTTGGGGGCCATGGAGGGGGTGGACTCAGGTCTAGTTTTTGCCCTGGCTTGGCCCAAGGTCTTGACCCTACTGGTATTGGTTTCCCAGGCAGCAACCCCTGGGCCCAGGGGGCCACAGTATCTAACCAAGATCTCCTTGTTTTGCTTTTTATTTCCCATGTCATCAGGGCTCCTCGAGAGCACCCTCAGGCTCGATGCTTCACTAGGAGGGCTCGCAGAACTCAGAAGAGCCGTACAACGGCTCCCGGTTACGGTTGTTATGGTCAATTACAGTGGAAGCACCCAGGTCAGAATCAGCAAGGACGCGAGGAGCGTAGGGCCGGGTCCAGGGGAGACCAGGCGTGAGCTTCCCGGTCCCTGGCCGGCGGAGGGGTGCGGCAGTGCCGTTTCTCCCGCAGCCTTGTGTGACAACCCGCACCGGGCACGGCCACCAGGGAAGCCTCCCTGAGCGGCGCTGTCCGGGGACTTCAGTGCGGGGTCGGTCCCGTGGGCCTGGAGCTCCCGCGGGGCTGAGCTCGGAAACTCAGTCTCTGCACCTGCACCGCCCCCCCCCCACCCCCCACCCCCTACCCCGGGACGTGAAGCTGAGAGGTGTGGCCCAGCTCGGCCCCAGGGAGATTGAGACCCTCTCATCAGGCAGGACATGCTGGGGGCCAGAGGTCCTTTCCCAGGGGCTGGGCAAGGGCCAGAACTTCCTTGGGAACATGCGGGGTTAGACCTGAGCTACACACCCCTCTTGGTTTGGGCCCCTGGGGATTCAGTTGACAATTTTATAAGCTCTCCAGCGTGGTCGGGAGGATGTCTGGCCCAGGTTATAGAACAGGTCCAGGTGTTCTCCAGGGGCCAGGCCAGGGTGGAGTGGGGTTCAGTGGTTTAGCCTGTTTACTTCTGGAAATGAACTCCTGGCCCAACTCTGTCACCAGCTCCCTGTCCTGTCTGGGTCAGATGATCACTGAGGCCTCTTCCATCTGGAATGTTCTCTGCTTTGTGCTTGGCCTTGGCAGGCTGGAAGTGAACTGGCTTTGCAGAGAGCCACCATCATCTCTGATAGCCAAGTCCCTGTGCCATCCCCCCTGTGCAATGTGATTCCGTGCTTAGTGGTGGGTGCCTTGTTTAACACAGAGGGAGTCTAATCAGAACCTGTTTTCCTTCTCCTTTCTAGGTGTTTAGTGACGACCTTACCAAGCCAATCATTGATAACATTGTGTCTGATCTCATTCAGATTTATACCATGGACACAGAGATCCCCTAAGGCCCTGGTCCAGGCCTGCCCAAAGAGAAGCCCGGGATGCTCGGCTGCCTGGGGACGGCATCACCGCATCGCTGTGACGGCTGGTCCCCAGAAGACCAGCTGGGAGGACTGGTTTTGTGCTGCTGGAGACGGGCTGGTGAAGGCGATGACCTGCTGCCACTTTGATTCTCATGCTTTGACTGTCCCTGGCAGCTGTGGTCCAGACGGTGATGGGAGCCGTGCCTCCTGCGGGCAGGCCGGGGTGCACCAGGGGAAGGGCCCCCAAGGCATCCGTGTCTGCTTTTGTCCTTTGAGAGGGCACCGACTGCAGTTGAGGTGTGACATCAGTGGAAGCAAAATCAAAGAACAGATGAGACTGCACCCTTGGGGATTTTTTTAAAGCCAGATTTATAGAAAGTATGAATGTGCAACATAGATGGAATTTTATTTTGTATAATAAAAGATGATACAAATCAACAGAGATGCCCTGTCTTTGCTCTCGGGCCTGGGCTGCTCTGGGTGCCGTCCAACCTCGGTTTCCCCTGAAACGCTCTCTCCGGGTGGAATCGGCCCTTGTGCCTCCATGGCCTTCTGAGGGCATGGTGGCCCAGCGTGTGCACACGTCATGGTGGCGTCCCTGGAAGGAGTCACCATGTCCTCACTCCCCCACTGGGACATTCGCAGAGCTTGGCGCCCGTCCCATTCAGTGAGTGAGCATCAATTTTGGAGAGAGGGATTAGGGAGCATCACTTGGGTTCCCCAAACCCAGATCTGACCAAAATGTAACTAGAAAGTAAATGGCGGTTTTTTCTTAAGTGTCAAGACAGTGAGTCTAGATGGAGAGCCTAGAGAATCTCAGGGCCATGACACCCTCCTGACCCACTCGAAGGGCACTTCTTCCAGAAGACTTGCTTTTGGGTGCATTAGAGAAACAGCAGCCTAGGTTGTTCTCCCTGGGAATCCCCACTGGGCTCGACACACACTGGTGGGACTGTCCTTCAGTACATGATGGTGTGGGGAGCAGGGGACTGTCCCAGGTGCGCCCCTGCATTTGGGAAGTTGTTGCCAGGGGAGCATGGGCTCTGGATACTGGCTGCCATGCCCTCCAGCATCCACAGGTGTGGGGGCTGGCTGGAATGCCTGGGGTCCAGCAGGCTGCCTCCGAATGCTTGTCTCTGGGGGATCACACGCTGGTGACAAGTCAGGCAGCAGGGCTTGCTTGAGTTTACTTAGCAACTGTGTTATTTGTCTTCAGGATGAGAGATCTGAGTAAATGTCCACTTTTGCACCGTGTCCTTTCCATATCTGTCCACCCAGCTCAGCTGGGAGCTCTTTGAGGCCAAGGTTGGTGCTCAGAGTCCCGGCTCTAAGCACGCAGTGGGTGGTGAGGGGCCAGCCCGCAGGCCTCTCTCTGTGAGCAGCTCTGGCTCTTTCGCTGGTCCCTTCTGTCTTCTGCTATTTAAAACGTACCTCGTCTGCCTCGTGTTCTTCCTCCCCACAGGCTGGGCCCTGGCACCGCCCCCTGGGCCCCAGCCTTGCTTGTCCCGCATCGACCTGGCGCTGGCCTTTGCCAGCGCTTATTGCTGGTTTGAATGGAATTGGGCAACGGATGTTTCACTTTTGGATTCTCTGTCTTCTCTCCCCTGACCAGATCACAGGCTCTTACAGAAGCTTCAGTGTCCTTGGATCTCTTCAGGTTTAGCCTCCGGCGAGGCAGCTGGCCCCCACACACTTGATGGGAGGTCATTTGCTCAGCTCTCAGAAAACAGAACCCCCTGCTCTGGATGGGAGGGCTAGGTGGAGGGTACGGGAGAACCCTCTGGAGAGCTCTCTCCATCTGCACCTGTTCCAGTCTGTTTGCTCCCCACCCCCTGCTCCAGGACTTACCAGAAAGAAGGGAAGGTGGTTGTTAGCTAAAGCTCTCTAGGGATTTGGTGAACATCCCCACCCCTGGCTGAGAGCCCCTGTGCCGAACTGGGAAAGCATGGCTCCAGAGACTCTGGTCTGCTGGGGCTAGCCGCAGCCTCCGTGGAGATTTTGTAGCTCTAGGTTTCCTTCTATGATGACTGCATAGCAGGCCGGTTCCTTTCTTTCTATGGGACTCAGTTTCCCACTTTGTAAATTGAGCAGGTTGGACCAAATGATCTCAGACTGGGATTGCGGATTGCTAGTTTTATTTTTCTTGTATTTTTTTCTGATTGCTATTTTAAAATCCCTTAGCCCGCTCCGTGCCTGTCGTGCTGCCCTGTGGGACTTGCAGCCCTCGCGCACTGGCCTCTGGGCCTGTCCTGTCAGCACTTACCACTCAGGGCTCGTCTCTGCTTTCCTGATGCAGCTGGGGCCGGAAGCTCCCCCTTCAGTGTGCCGTCATCGGAACAGAGATGAAGGAAGGGTGCTAGGCAGCAATGAGGGATGGAGACAAGATTTTCTACAACCCGAAGCTTCCGGCACATCTTAATTACTGTAAAGTGATAGACGGCCGAGCCTTGCCTGGCCTGTCAAATGGGTGGAAGGAGGGGGGCGATCCAGGTTCTATGAGGAACTCGGCGGTCTCTTCCTTTCCAGCTGTAGATGAGTGAATGCTGTCCCCCGAAAGATGTGTTTATGTCCTAACTCTTGGAACGTGGGGATGGGTCCTTATTTGAAAACAGGCTCTTTGTAGCTATTGTCAGCGTGAGGTGAGATCCTACAGGAGTAGGCTGGGTCCGAATCCAAGATGACTGGTATCCTTCTAAGACGCAGTGATGGAATGTGCAGGGGAGAAGGCCACGGGACGACAGAGACAGGGGTGGTGCGGCTACCAGCCAAGGAAGGCCAAGGCCGCCGGCCGCACCAGCAGCTGGAAGGGGCAAGGAAGGAGCGGCCCCTAGAGCCTTCGGAGGGAGTGCCGCCCGGCTGACACCTGGATTCCTGCCTTCCGGCCTCCGGAGCAAGAGGAGGGGGTAACTGTCTTGTTATTTTAGCACCCCCCGACCAGTGTGGGGTACTTCATCAACTCCTACCGGGCTTCCTCAGACTCCCAGGGTGCACCTCTGCTCCCGGGGTGCTGCTGGGTGGTGAAATGTTGGCCAAGCTTTGTGAAGGGGTGGGCGTTGTTACGCTTCCTGGCCTCAACTCATTTGGCTAAGTACCATTTTTTTTCCACAGGAACCTGTGTGATATCTGATAGCAGGAGTGGAAAAGAGTCTCCACAGGCAGAAATGAGCAATCTGGGGGGGGAGGGCACCATCTCTCCATAAGGTGCCAGCTCTCTGGACATGGCGTTTGGCCCCATGTAGACTTGCTCAGCCTTCGGGTTCAAGGTGGACACACACATCAATGAAGCAAGGGCTCTTGGCTATTTGTCTGCTGTTTTCTGTTATTTGTCTTTTTGCCTTTTTTGGAAGCATGGACTCTGGTGGTTGGGAGGGAACTTAGAAGCCATTTTCCTCCTTTCTTGGCAGCTTCCCTGGAAAAGGCATCCGCTGGCGTTGCCAAGTTTGAAAGGGTGATGTGTGGAGTGGAGAAATAGAAACACAGGGGACGGAGATGTGGGTAGTCTCGGCTCTGTCCCTGTGGTAGTCATTTGCAAGTTTTGGCCCAGAGCTCCCTCTGGGCTGCGGAGCACAGATGCCCCCCCCCCCCCGCCCCACAGGTGCTCAAGGACGCCCAGTGTGCGAAGGAACGGATAGGGGGATGACCCGGCGAGCAAGTGAATGACTGAAATAATGGGTTTTCTTTCCCCCGCTTTGGCTTAAAGAGGAAGTCTGTGATTACAACCCTTGTGCGCTGCTGGGGGCAAATTTAAAATGGTGCAGCCGCTTTGGAAAACAGTTTGGCAGCTCCTCAAAAAATTTCACCTAGCATTACCAAATGACCTGGCTATCCCACTTCTGGATGTAGACCCAAGAAGACTGAAAGCAGGGACTCCAACAGATATTTGCACACCCATGTTCACAGCAGCATGACTCACAGCAGCCAAAAGGCAGACGCAACCCAAGTGTTCCCTGACGGATGAGTGGATAAAGAAAATATGGTCTAGCCATACAACGGAATGTTACTCAGCTTTAAAAAGGCAGGAACTTCTGACACAGAGAGACAGAAAGGACGGCAGGCACCAGGGGCTGGGGGGCACGCGATGAGGAATTAGGGTCTAACGCGAACGGATTTCAGTTTGGGGAGATAAAGATGTTCTGGAGACAGATGGTGGGGATGACTGCACAGCACTGTGAAAGTACTTAATGTCATCGGACTGTTTGCTTAAAATTGGAGAGTGACTTTTATGTTGTATATATTCTGCCACAATAAAAAAAAAAAAAAGAGGGAGTCTGCATGCGTGCATTTGGGTTGGTGGCCCCTGCCTTCACCTTCCTTTGAGGATGCCGGCCTGGGCCTTCAGGCGAGGCCCCTCCAGGTCCAGACAGTTCGAGGACCAGCATGCAAACCTCTGCTAGCAGTGCCTCTGACCCCATGGGGCAGGCGAGCCCTTTCTTCCTTCCATAAGGACTGGACAGGTGGCTGCACACCCGGGGGGAGCTTGGGCATTCCTGGGGCTCTCAGCTTGGTTAAGTGGATGAAGACACCTCCTTTTCATTCCAATTCATTCAGAATTCACCAACTAATAAATCACACATGTTACCCAGACTGGGACTGTAGGAGCCTTCCAATTTTTTTTTTTTTTTTAATACACAGAAATTTTGGTCTATTCTTTAAATTAGGAAATTCAACTACAGACTTTAAATTATTATGCATCTGGTCTTCCTCATTAAGATAATTTTTGTTCATCTTTATAACAGGCAGATAAAAATGTAAAACATATTTCATAACTGAACACAGTTGACCAAGCCATTCCGTATAATATGCTTTATAGAGGGGGCTTCCTCACAAGACAGGTCCCTCGGCCTGAAGACTGTACAGAAACCAGAGCGACAATCTGAGGTCACGGCGCCCCTTTCTGAACCCCACACCCCGAGGAAGGGCAACAATGGACACACACAGTAGGCAACTTCGTACGGCAGCAGTGAGGGTTTTTGTTTAATCTATACGGACCGTTTGTTCTACCAAGGTGTCTCTAACAGAGAATGAAAAGAAGCCCATGAGCAGAGCATATGCAGCTTACCTTCTTCAATTTGAAAGATTTCCAATTTTATTTCTAGTTTAAGAACACACAGACCCTCAACAAATTGAGTTGCCCTTTTTGTTGTTTAAACAAGGACATTAGGGAACAATTCACAAATGGGTAACATTCTCAGTGTGCCCTTTGGAATAAAGGGATGGCTTTAAGTTATCTGTAGCTGGCATCTTAAGTGGGATTTTCTTGTCTAACTGGAATTCCTTCGCCCGAGATTTGACTACTCCTGCTCAGGGGTGACATGGCCTTCAGGTTAGCGGTAGGAACTGAGCATGTTTTGGATGTCGACCCAGATGCTCACAGAGGCAGGTGGCCTTGGGCGAGTCCCCTGCCAGTGGGGGTAGCACAGGGGACATGACGGGTGAGCCGGCCTTGCTGCTCACCCACACCTGCATTTCCATTCTGACCCGTGTCCCTCAGCTCCCGGCTGTCCCTCGGTGGCTCAGCCTCAGGCCCAAGTGATAGGCACATGTTCACGCTGCGGTCGGACTTCAACTGCCTCTCTGCAAAATGCGACAGATGAATTCAGAAGGTAAAGGAAACTCTGCTTTTGCTGCATTTCCCTCCCTGGTCAGCGTGCATTCCGGGGAAACTGAGGCTTGGCACAACGGGTGCCCATACGGCAAGGAGAGGTCCCCGAGGGAACCGTCTGGGGAGCCCAGGCCCAGCTCTCCCTCCTGCAGACAGGGTGCTCAGCCGGCGCGGCGAAGCTGACCTCCTCAGCCTCCCGGGCTCGTGAGACAGAGCCACAGCTGTGACCGGAGCGACGACGGCGAGGTGCCATTGCTCCCAGGGGCTTTGCTCCTGCGCCTGCTTCCCCCATGTCACCGTAGGTGGCTGCAGACACAAATCCATGCCTTTGTGGGTCATAGTTGTCCTTGAGCGAGAAGCCCCGGGTCGGAAGAGTGCTTTGGCGGGTGGTGACTGAGACCTGGCCCCAGTCACTCGGCAGACCCCTCAGCCCAACTTCTCGGTTGCGGTCACGTCAGCTCCTCTTGGGTTTGGAGGGCACCTCTTCCTCCGCCACTTTCTGCCTGACTCTTGGTGGTCTCCCCACCCCCAGCCCCACCCCCACCTCCAGACCTGGCTCTCCTGGGGCTGCTCCCGGATTCTGGGTGTTTCCAAGGGGTCGGCGTGGCAGGGGGCGGCAGCGCTTCATGCTGTTGAAGCTGGGGCGTGGACAAAGAAAGCCCACCAGCCAGAATTCAGGACTTGGAGTTGAAACCGAAGGAAACTGAAAGCAAAACTCCCCTTTCCACCTACTGGAGGGGATCATTCTTATCAATACTTTGGTATTTTCCTTTTAAATAAAAAAATTCCATTGAAAGGTTTTTTTTTTTTCCCCCTCTATAGGCAGGGGTCTCAAAGTGCAAAAGTTCTAATTCTAACCGCTCCGGCCTCGTGTCTCTCTCCCCGACCTTCTCAGGAATCTCCACAGCAACATTCCCAGGAACTGTGCGGGGAGGAGGACTGGGATGGAGAACGGAGGCTGGGCAGAAGGTGGGGGGCAGCGGTGGGGGGCGGGCAAGCAACCAAAAAGATATTCTTGCAGTCTCGTTCCCCGAAAAAAAACCCTGCCACAATAAATAATGAAATTTCAAAATGAAAACACCTGATAAGAGGAATGGAAATATCATGCTGATAAATAGCTCCTTATTCTTTAAATACGCATCTGGTCATATATGTACGTACATGTCTATACGCACACGCATATCTACGCACACACGCACACACATACAGACCGCACATGTGTCCTGGGGGAGGGGCGCTTGGTGGCGCAGGTACATTTGCAGGCGGCTCCCAGCGACAGGCTGTCCGGGCGGGGCAACCTTCCGGGCCCTGCCGAGCCACGGTCATCCTTTTTCTTTCTGTATGAACCTATCGGGCCAACTGCTCTCCGGCAGGTGCAGGGAAACGCCCAGTCAGCTGGAACCAGCCCCCGCCCCACCGCACAGCCCAAACAGCGAACGTCCGGAGGAACTGTAGTGTTCGTTAAAAAAATGCTTCGATAGAAAAAAGGGAAACACGGCTCTTCTCACGCTCTAGTTTCTCCCTCGTCCTGCTCAGTCCCAGATAAGAAGCCTTGGGTGGAGTGGCTTCTTGCTAGTGCCGTGCGAGCACCATCTTCAGCCGCCTTGGCCATGCTCTCCTTGCAGGCCTGTGCCATCCGGGCCGAGTGCGCGTGTGTGCGGTGTGCGTGTGCCCAGAGCCCTTCCCTTAGAGGGACGTCTCCACGCTGTGGAGCGGGCTCCCGGGTCTGGAAGAAAACACTGACGAGGTAGCTGACTTGGTGCCGTGCGTGGTCAGGTAGATACCGCTGTCTATGGCGTTGTTGTTCTGGTTGGGGGACGGGGGTGGGGGGGCCCGCAGGCGCTCCTCGTTCTCATCCACGTCCGTGTCATCGATGAGTGGGATGTTGTGGGTGTAGTCATTGATCAGAAACTCGGGCGTTGCCATGAAGTTATGAATGGAGGTCTTGGATTCCGGTTTCTCCAGGCCTTCATAGAGCGAGCTACGGAATGCTTTCACCACCCGGATCTGGAGCAAGACATGGAAGGACAGGGGCCCAAGGTGGGAGGAGGGAGGGAGGGAGGGAGAAAGGAAGGAAAGGGGGAAGAAGGGAAGGAGGGAAGCCAGGAAGGAAGGAAAGAAGGAGGGAAGGAGATAGTCAATGGCTGGCTGGTGCTGGCAAGTTCCACCCACATCAACAGCACCAGGTTACTGCGTGACAAACGTTCGTCCATTGGAATGGAGCAACTGGGACAGCTCTGCCTGGTTGCGCTAAGGGCTTTCAGGATTGGGTCTGTGTCTCATCAACTGGGCCCTCTGCCAAATCTGAATTCCAATTCGATAGAACAGAAAGATGATTCCAAAAAGGGAGAATGCTAGAGAGGGGACTCTCCGCTTCCTCTTACCACAAAGTCTGCATAACTTTCTGACAAGAGCAAGTCCCCAGCCTATGGGCACAGTGCCGGCCTTTCTCAAGTGGGTCTCCCTCCCTGGCTTCTCTATAGACCTTGTCTCCGTCCCACCAGCTCTCGTGCCTGTAACCAGCACCTGCCATGGCCAGGCCCACATGGCCATCAGTCTTCCTGCTGCGAAGTCCAGTGGCGACTTCTGTGTCTCCATCTTATTTGATTTCTCAGGGGCCCCCAACACAGCTGACTGTCCCTCTTTCTGGAAACTCCTCCTGGCTTCCCTGACATCGCCACTGCCTGGCCCTCCTCCTACCTGGCCCTGTCTCCTGCACTTCTCCTTCCTCTGGCCCATGGTGCCCCAGAGCCCTGGCCTGGCACTGGTCCTCCTCCTCTCTGTCCGTACGCCCAGGCCCACCTCCTAGCCCTGACCGCCACCTTGGGGCTCATCTGGCTGTAATCGGGGGCCTGAGAGCTGGCCACTCTCCCATCTGGAGGCATCCAACACTGAAAATGGCCCCACTTTTGATTTGCACCCAGTAAGCCTGTCCTGCTTGGATGCCCTGCTCCAGCGCAATGGTTCCTCTCGCCTCCTGCAGGCCCCCTGGCCCGCAGCTCGGTGCCTCTGATCGGTTGGCATTTCCCTTCGCAGACCCTTTTGCCTTCGTGTCTCCTGCCATCACAGGCATTGACTTCTTTTGGTCAGTGGAATCTGCCGTATCCTTCCTCTCCTCAGGCTTTTCTAGATCTTGTTCCTCGGCTGCTCGACTGGCATTGGCAGACCGCAGGGAAGAGCTTCCCACAGTGCCCTGATCCCCGGCTATGGTGGCCCTTGGCCCCAGCCGAGCTCAGGCACCCTCTGACCCCCATACCTCCTGCAGGATCTTGCTCCCAGAACTAGCCCCTTGGTCTCTTTGATCCCCCCTTCACTTACACGAGTGCTCAAATGTCATCAGGTTTATGAGCCACAGAGCTGCTGCCTCACTTTGTTCCCTCCCTGGTCCCCTACCACCTGGGCTCCCTCTTGGTTCTAGAAGCTCGAGTCCATGGGAAGGCCTCTGCTGGGCCCCGCATGAGCCAGCTGGCCTTGTGCTGAGATGGGGAAGTCAGCTCTTCCCTATGTGAGTGGGTGGACATAGCATCAGTTCTAAAGTCATTTCCAGGTCAAAGCTTCTAGGACTTGGTTTTCTTGGTTTAGACTGGGTGTTGGCAAACTGTGGCCAAGGCTACTGGGCCTCAGCTTGGTTTTACAAATAAAGTTTTATTGCCACACAGCCACGCCCATTCATTTCTGCTTCGTCCATGCCTGTCTTCAAGGTGCCGGGGCAGAGTTGGGTAGTTGTGACAGAGACCTGGCCTGCAAAGCTAAAAATAATTACTCTAAGGTCCTTTATAGGAGAAGTTTGCTGTCCCCTAGTTTAGACCATGAATCACACTGCTGACAATGAGTCCTTTTCGAGCCTCCAGGGTCTGGAACCCCGGGACAGTCAGTGCGTGGCCAAGCACAGTGCTCGTAAATCAGTTTAAGCCAGGTGAACCTCACAGCCACTCGAGGGCAAAAACAGTCAGCCAGAGAGCTCCGTAAAATTGGAATTCCCTAACTCCAAATCTTAAATCTGGCTAGGATTTTCTCTGAATTTGATGAAGTCACGTCTTCTGGATTACAGATGGCCAACTATTTGCCCTCAGTTCCTTGACTCCCCCAGACTGGCTCCTGAGAAAGGGGTAACCCAGAAATTGAGGGGAGAATCATTTGATATTTTTAACGAAAAGAAATAGAAGTCACGTTTTGTAGTCACTGAAGATGTGGCCTCATTCTTTGGGCCTTTTCTGGTGCCAGAACTGGGGGGGAGGTACTGGGACAAGTCACAGAAAGGAAAGTAAGCTGGACCCTGCAGCCCTTGACCCTAGGCGCCTTCGTGGTAAGTTTGGCAGCAATGATCTGATGACCCTGGCTACACCCTTTCCTCTGGCTGAGCTGGTCCCCTCACTTGGATCTGGGTCACACGATCAGGTCAGACCCCTGCTGAAACCCACCTTCAGGTCTCCCTGTGCCTGGCTGAACTCCAAAGTCTTTGCCCAAAACGGGCAGCCAGCCCTTCTTCTCCAGCTTCTGCAGCTCCGGAACTTTCCTTCAGGGTGCTTGCTCCTCCCAAGTATAATCAGACTTACTTTAATGACTGTCTTGTCACTGGTCTGGTTTGCTGCCTATCGACAGAGTGTGGCACAGAGTAGTCGCTCAATCACCAACGGGGCGGGC